AGGTCACGAATGGTATCTAACAGTTTTTCGCAAATAACTTTTGATAGAGGCATGCTAGAGCGACGAAAACGCCTTAGATGTGTTCAGCTCGACGATACGGATCGACTGATATTCAACATGACCCTTTCCGGTCAGGTCATGACCTTGACCTGAGGTCAAATTTTCAAGTTGACCTTTCAAGGTCAAGTTATAGTTCATTCGATGCGTCTTGACGAGAGGAACACGATGCCGGTAAAAGTAAGCTCGTACAAGGCTTGGGTCAAAAGTTATTGCAGAAAAACTGTTTCCAAAAAATCGGCTATTTTTGCAGTTTTTGCCCCCTGCAGGCAAAACCGTTGACGTTAGGTCAAATCTTAGAGTATTACTCAGAAAGGGCGTTAATAGGGCTATCGAATGCGCTTTTCCGCGGCGCTGTAGCTCTGTTGGTCCCCGAGTTATGCGTTGGCTTCTTGGAAATTGTCGACATTCGACCTGGAAATCGGCGAAATTTTGCCTTCAATGACCTCTGGTGACCTGACCTTTGACCTGACCAAAAAATTGACCGAAGTGATTTCCTCATTATTTTTGACGCTCTTTTGAACGCCGCCTTCCGCGTATCGCTACGTGACCCAGGAGCCGAGTTAGAAGGGGGGATGTTCAAACACCCCCCCCCCCCCAGCAGGGCGTGGAAATCCAGGACCCCAGCAGGGCGCGGGTTAATTAAAACTGGCCTCAGAACAGGACAGGAAGCCGGTGGATGAAGTTCATGCTTATAGTTCATAAATTTCGCTTTGGCAGGCAATTATGACGGTTCATTGGTGCATTTTTGACCCGGTATCTCAATCCAGTCACATGCTGGCTAAAAAATCAGATGAACTCAGATGGCTCATGGCTGATGGCAGCAGGGTCCCAGTAAACATGCCGACATCGGCCCGACGTCGGGCCGAGGCTCGGCCCGACGTCGGCCCAGCGTCGGTTCAACCTCGGCCCGACATCGGCTGGACGTCGGATATGCCCGCATGTTCCGACGTCCAGCCGAAGTCCAGCCGACGTCGAGCCGACGTCGCGCCGAGGTCGTTTGCCGAGGTTGACGAGATCGTTTGTCGTTGGACCGACAGGACCGACGTCGGCATGTTTATTGGGACAACGCGCCAAAAATATCAACCGGCGGCGGGATTCGAGCCCCCCAGTCGCCGACGTCGGCATGTTTACTGGGACAACACGCCAAAAGCATCAGCCGGCGATGGGATTCGAAACCCGTGTCATTTGAAAGCGAGGTTAGTGCGCCAACCACTACACCACGCAGCCAGATAGCGAATTTAGTTTGTTTTGTTGGGTTATGCCCTTTCGGTCTGACAAGACCATTTCAGAGCCGGAAGGATGATAGGATGGAGACATTGGTCTTCTTGGCGAGCACCCTGGGTCCAGTTCATATAGAGTAGGGGAGAGTGGGGTAAGATGCCCAGGGTGGGAAAGACGCCCCACACCCTCTTGCGGCGAAACAAAGAATCGAACCTGAAAATTAATGTTCTTAGCGTAAAGCGGAAGCCTGCCTTGTTAACTGCACCAAAATTTGCGAAGCTCAAGTCAGCTGGGTAACGGCTGGCTGGTGCTTGCATGTTTTTTATTTGCTACTTTCAAAAAATATTTTGGTGTCAAAACATTGTAAATACCAAAGAAGGTAGATAATTTTTGCGTCCCTTGCTATAGGTGTGATACATTAACCCGCGAGTTGCTGGGGGGGGGGGCGTTAAACGCCCCCACTTTTTTCGCCGGGCCATAGCATAAAAACGGCGCGCCGCAGGCGCGCCAAATTTTGGGTACCTGTAGGGAATTGATTGAAGTGTATTGTGACAAAGTTTCAAAAAAATCGGTCGGAAATTTTTTTAGATATCGAGGTTTTAGTGACGTCATGATTTCTGAGTTTTCGACCAAAAACGGCATATGTTCAAAAAATCATATAAAATCACAGAATAGACATACAGACATGCCGTAAACGCCATTAGACTGCCAATACCATGAACAATCAAATGGCTATCTTCGATTGTTGATTATCGTTCCGCATTTTCCAAAATCTTGAACTGAATCTTGGCAATTTCTCGTGACTACTTCACGACCATGATACATGCATTTCTTAAATTGAACTTTTTTAGCCAAACACGCACACATATGGTAAAATGAATGTCACCATCGTGTTCTACGCCCCAAATTACCTATAAAACACATGTCACAGGCTGCGAATATCAGTTTTGATTTTCGGGGATATGTGCCTGCCCGGTTGACCTGACCTTGACCCTGACCTATGCTTGACTGACCCCTATATGGAGCTGACACTCTTGTAGGCCACATATGATGGATTGTGCACCGTTTTGACAGAGTTTATGACGAGAGGCGCCCATTGCGAAGTCCTGAAGTCCATGCTACTGAAAGCCCGATTTCAGGTGTTTGACCTGACCTTGACCTGACCTGTGACCTCAAAATTCAACTTTAAAGTACTCATCTGAAGCGTCTCGTCGCGTTCTTTCGTTTGCCGCCTCGTGCGTTTCGCTGCGCCTATTGGTTCTCGAGTTATCGGCTGGGGGCGTTTAACGCCCCCCCCCAGCAAACGGTGGGTGGCGAAATACCCCAGCAACTGCCGGGTTAACATGCGTGTAGTGTGTCCCGAACAGTTTGTTTCAGGGTGTAGTTTTATGGATAACAAATTGTACTGATTTAATGTTGCTTCGGTACCTTGGGGTAAGATGCCCCCTGTCCTGATGGGGAAAGACGCCCCCTAAATCCGTAGGCTGTCCTTCAAGCAGCCCGTCAAATCATTTATTACATACCTACTTGTGATGAGAGACAAAAGCCGATCTGGGATTATTGAGAGTCCAATACGGTCGGGTGCTCCCCATTCCGGTCTCTCGGCACACACAGCGACTTTTTGGGCGGCATCTGACTCTGAGAGCATTCACGACGGCCTCTGTGGGCCCCATTATTGGCTCCAGGGCCCCTCACGACATCCTTTGAGGGCTCCCACGTTGGGTCCACGGGCCGCGCTGGCATCTGAGGTCCCCACGATGGGCTCGAGGGCCCTCAAGCATCATGAAGACCTATAAGGGCCCCACAGTGGTCTCCGAACGCCACCACGGAGGCTTGTTTGGCCGCGCTGGACTATGATGGCCCTAACGATGACCTCTGAAGTCCCTTACGACTACTTTTGGGGGCCCTTACGATGACGTTTGGTGTCTACTGCAGTCTCGAAGGGACTACTGATTCGTTCAGGCGATTCACGTGCCCATTTATGCCACTTATAGTGCAGGGGGCATCTTCCCCAACGCCAGGGGGCGTCTTTCCCACCATGTGGGGTAAGATGCCCCCTTTCACTTCTTCAGGAAAATGCTTAATAGCAAAAAAAAGTTATCATATTTCAGGCACGAAAGTGTGATACTTTTGAAGAAAAATGATGTCGGCTTCCGTTGAAACTCCAAGTTTTTGCTTTCCGATCGTCATTTTCGAATAATATATGACATAGTAAAACCCTGGGCATCTTTCCCCACTCTCCCCTACCTGCGTCCCATTGCTGTTACGTGACACTTATTGGAAAGGGCGACCCCACAATGGATTCATATAGCCACTCTTACACACCTGCACCAACGTTTCCCAAAGTGTCCCTTTGATAAGTGGCACTTTGGCAAAGTGACACTTGCCGACTGGCCTTTCTACGAGAAGTGGGGTAAGTATATGAACTCGTATATGAACTGGGCCCGGCCCTGGCGAGTTGCCGGGGCTGAGCCTGACCAAAGGATAGGCCGAGCAGCCCCCAAGCACTCACCGCACCCGGCTACGGGCGAGCTCGGCTTACGGGCAAACCCAAATGGGATAAAGTTTCCCGTCCAGTCCGGATCAGGGGGTGGCGTGGAGGAAGATTTGAGTTTCCTGAGGATATTTTGAATACAGAAGCTCTTTATGAAACATGAAACATGCATTTTATATTATTTTAACGGTCAAAACAGCGGCCGATGTCGGTCCGACGTCGCCCCGACGTCGGCCCGACGTCGGCTGGACCTCAGCAATTGATCTCGGTCCGACGTCGGCCCGACGTCGGCTGGACCTCGGCTGGACGTCGGTACATGCGGGCATATCCGAAATCCAGCCGACGTCGTGCCGAGGTTGGACCGACGTCGGGCCGACGTCGGCATGCCGATGCCGAGTTGCCGACGTCACCCCGACGTCTGCCGACGTCGGGCCGACGTCTGTCGACGTCGGGCCGACGTCGGCATGTTTACTGGGGTTGTGCTCGACTCAAAAAAAAAAATTGCCGACTCGACTCATCATTCAACTTCAGGAAGCCCTGACTCAACTCTGACTCAAACAAGGAGCTGATTTTTTCCCTTGACTCAACTCATGACTCAAGCGGCTCAATGAAAATATGAGTTGACTCAAACTTGACTCAAATTTCTTGTTGAGTCAAGTGTGTTGACTCAACATTGACTCAGATAAAAAGTTGTTGAGCGGGGGGATGAAAAAAAAATCCGGCAGCAGGGCCAGGCCTAAGTTGTTAAGCGGGGGGGGGGGAATGAAAAGCTAAAATATTGTTCCTAGAAAGATGAGTCAGCTGACTCATGTTCCTAAATGTTTTTGACTCAACTCAATGTCAAAAGTTATTTTACTGACTCAACTCTGACTCAACTCAACACCTTAATTTTTTTTTGTCTGACTCAACTCTGACTCAACTCAACAGCTCAACATTTTATCCGACTCGACTCAAACCTGACTCATCTGAGTCAGAGTTGAGTCAAATCTCTGACTCGACTCATGAGTCAAGCACAACCCTGGATGGCAATGACTTTTATGTGATTTTGCCAATAATATTTGAAATGAAAGGGTAAATCAATCGTGCCCACTTTTTTAAATAGTGCATTTTGTTTGCATTTGTTGCAAATATTCATGGCACCAGCGGTTTATGCCATTTATGCAGTGTTATAAGAGTTCTTAGGTTTACGGCATATATTGCGCAGGTGATTCGCTTCCTACGCAGGGCACTGAAACTCGTGGTGTGTGTATTTTGCGTGGTGTATTTTGCAAGGCTATATAAAACCAAACCGTATTTTGTATTGACTTGTGTATTGGTATTGGTTGGTATTCCTCCTGGTATTCAATCGGTATCTTTAAATAACCACAGCGCAAGTGCCTACTTACCACTTTTCCTCTTGTATAGTGATTTGATTTCTTTCCTCTTTAGGGAAGGAGCAATAGGTATGTCAATTTTTGCAAGTGTATTTTATCAATGCTTCCTAAATCAGTGGTTTTCATTTTCAAAACGATTTATTGTAACTTCGTAATGCCACCAATTTCTTTTAAAGTCACTTTTCAAATTTCCCTTATGTATTTCTGCTGTCACAGAGCTGGAGAGCTGCCAAGTGTAGCGGCAGAACACCTTCAATTAAGGGGGCACTGCCGACTTTTGGGTCCCATTCTTTCAATGCAATGCCCATAGGGCTAATGTTAAAATGCCAAAATCAAAGGGGGGCACGGTACCCCGGCGCCCTCTCCGTTCCACTGCACATGTCTACCAACATGGTTAAGGTTAGCCGTTAGGCCTGGTTAAAAGGAGCCCACCAAGTCAGTTGGGCAAACTAGACTTTTGGAATCAAAATATGGAGGCATCAATAATTTGATTCTGGTGGGAGGAGCCATGACCAAATATGGGCATAGAATCAATTTTTTGATTCATTTGGGTACACTTTTGACTTCAAATGTATCGTTACGGTTGAAAAAAAGCCCATGACGGTGAGATTTTTGTTTAAAAAGGTAGAAAAATGTGGTAGGTTTGCAAAAAGTGTTACCTCAAAACTGAGAAATTGTCCCTTTGGCCTTGTGAATGGGAAAAAGACAGAGGCACTGTCCATCACGTAAAAGCTGTTTTGAGGAAATCACACTGTATGTTATTTTTGTAACATGAATCGCATACTAAACAATCAGTATTTGTGTAAAATGGCAAAATGAAATTTTCAAACCCCTAATTATCATTGTTGTAGTGCTTTTATATTTATTATATGGTTTTTACCTGTTGCTTCAGTTTTTGTATTCTTGACGTTTAAAAATTGTGAATTGTTATCAAATGTAGTGAAGGTAAAGTACAACAATGCTATAGGTATCTGTTGTGGTACTGAGGATACCACTTAATGAGAATAATAGCAAGATAAATGATGTATTCTTGCATGTCATTGTTGCCTATCTCTTAACATTACCTGTGAATCAAAATAATGATTAGCCAGCTGATGAGGAATCAATATTATGATTATCTGTTTAAAGTGAATCAATTCCTTGATTGCCTTTAACTACCTATAGAATTCAAATTGTTATGATAGGAGCAATATTATTTTGCTTAGGAGATGCTTCCAGCATTTCTGTTCAAGATCAGGCATGCTCCTTCTTGAAACACTCTCTTATTTTTAAGTGTTTGGTAAGTTAGAGATGGTCTGCATTTATGCCCAAATATGGTCATAAGGAATCAATCTTTTGATGCCTCCATATTTTGATTCCAAAGGTCTAGTTTGCCCAACTGAAGTGCTTGTAGCCTGTAAGGACACGTCGATGGCTTACTGCTTTGTTATAAGACAGAAAGAGAAGTAGATGGGAAATAGGAACTGTTGAGTCTTTTTCACCTGCAATGCCAATACATTGTTTTGAAACATGGACTTCATGAGTCCTAAAAGGCTAAAACCAGAATAACTCAATGTACCATAGAAAGTTACATTGGGTTATGGGTACCTTTTTTGTGCAAGCAATTTAGATTGGCACCGAACCACCCATCTTCCTTGCAATTTCCCCCACAAAAGCCAGATGTGTTGGTTAATCAAATATCAATTTAATAGTTTTTTATCTTTTGTTAACCCTATAAGTTTTATAATTGTGATGTAATTTCAATTGACAATTGACAAAACTGTAAGCAGCTTCTGACCACCATGCTTGTATGACCATGGAGGCATGGAGTCAAATTAAAATATGCCAATTGCAAAGTGTAATTACACTAATTGACACTGACACTGCTCAGGGCCTGCTGCTCATTTCATGCAATTCTACATTTTATTTTCAAAAGTTACATGTATGTGTTGATTTCTTTGTGTTTGCAGTTTTCTTACAGCTACCAAGAACTTAGAATCACTGTTTATACCCTTGTCTCAAGTAACCTCATTTGTATTTTCCCATTTGTTCCCAGGAGTACATACATTGGCCTGCCACCATGCTCTGACCAGTGAGCTGCGTCTGGCTCGTTAGGTCTAAACACCAGGCACAGCTGCAGCGGGTCGTCGGTACTCGGTAGTCCTGCCAGGTTCATCAGCGGCTTCAACTGCTACTGCCTCAGTGGCTTCAACTACCCCTCCCTCGGCGTCTGAAGGGTCTGCCGCCGCCGGCCGCGGACCGCCCCGCGCCGGGTGGTCATGTCGCTCTGCCGGCTGACCCGGCTGCGGGCCCGCCTGCCGCCCTGCCGCCGTCTCTCCGGGGACGGCGGCGGTCGGGACGCGCCGCCGCCGGAGCCGCTCCCCTCGCTGCTGGAGCCCACGCACCCGGCCGACGACCGGCAGTGGAGCGACGCGGCGCTGTACCCGGAGGGCTCGCGCGGCCGCCAGAGCCAGGCGCGCCGCTCGGCGCGGCCGGCGGTGGACCCGCGGCACACCTCCGTGCTGCTGTTCCCCGGCCAGGGCGCGCAGCGGATCGGCATGGCCGACCGTCTGCTGCCCTTCCCGCACGTGGCCGACATGTTCGCCGAGGCCAGCGACATCCTCGGGTACGACCTGCTGGAGCTGTGCCGGCGCGGCCCGGCGCCGCGGCTGGACCGCACCGAGCACGCCCAGCCGGCGCTGCTGGTCACCTCCCTGGCGGCCGTCGAGCGGCTCAGAGACGAGCGGCCGCGCGCCGTCGACTCCTGCATGGCCGCCGCCGGCTTCAGCGTCGGCGAGCTGGCGGCGCTCACCTTCTCTGGCGCGCTGTCGTTCTCGGCGGCCGTGCGGCTGGCGCACGTGCGCGGCCAAGCTATGCAGCTGGCCTCGGAGCTGGCGCCGTCGGGCATGATGACGGTGCTGTGCCGGCCGGACGCGCGGCTCGGCTTCGCCTGCTCGCTGGCTCGCCGCTGGTGCGAGGAGCACGGCCTGGAGGCGCCCCAGTGCGCGGTCGCCTCGTTCCTGTTCCCGCAGTGTAAGGTGGTGGCCGGGCACGTGGAGGCGCTGGACTTTATCGCCGAGCGGGCGGCGGAGTTCGGACTGCGCCGGTGCACGCGGCTGCGGGTCTCTGGCGCGTTCCACACGCCTCTGATGGCGCCGGCGGCCGAGCCTCTGCGTGCCGCGCTGGCCGACACCCGCATCTCGGCGCCGCGGGTGCCCGTGTACAGTAACGTGGACGGCCGCCAGTACCGGTCGGCCGAGCACGTGCGCCGCCGGCTGGTCGAACAGCTCACCAAGCCGGTCAAGTGGGAGCAGACCATGCACGTGCTGTACGAACGCTCGCCCGGGGTGCCGTTCCCCGATACGTACGAATGCGGACCCGGCGACACGCTCACAGCAATACTGAAGAAGGTCAACGCCAAAGCGGCGGACTCGTGCACCAGTGTCGAGGTGTAGTTGCGGCTGCGGCCGCCAGGGGCGCTGATGTAGTGCCAGTTCTGACTGCCGCCGCTACGGGCGCTGAAGTAGCGGCAGTGCCAGTTCCTACGGCGGCCGCCAGAGGCGTTGTGATTCGCTCGTGCGATAATGGTCGGATGGTGAGCTTTGTTGTTGATTTTGATGAGCATAGTGACGTGTGACTTGTAATAGAAGCGCTCCAAACAGACTGATTTTTATAATAGAGTATAGCGCACGGGTACCGGCTTCCGGCTGTGAGGACTGCAGTGAACCTTGCTGTGAACCGAAGCGACACCTCGGGTGGTATGTCGCTCCCAAGTCCCAAGTAACTGAACCGATAAAATCGTGGAAAGGACGACAGTTAACTAAACTGCTTCTCAACACCGTCCATGCAAGTCTCCATTCGTTTGTCTTTCCGTCTTCAGTAGTTACCTTGTTCTCTCACTTCCCTTTCAGACTGCATACTGTTCAGGTGTCACCTGAAGTATCTGTTATACACACCGCACTGACTTCACAGTTTGCGAGAGTGTGTACCGCTCGTCTTCACACTACCTAACGTTGCCCAGCTCTGAAGAGTGTCTGTCTGCCCCGGCAGAGTTCCTGAGGATGCTGATCTGAGACCGCCGGACATGGCGTCCCGCCCACCTCGCCAGAAGTCATCGTGAGGTCGCCGGTCGACCCAGCCAGAGCCGAGGTCATTATGACTTGCCTGGGGTCGCCGGTCGACCCAGCCAGAGCTGAGTTATAACGACTGACCTGGGGTCGCCGGTCGACCCCGCCAGAGCCGCCGAGGTCATTATGACTGGCCTGGGGTCGCCGGTCGACCCCGCCCCGCGCAGCTGAGGTCTCAGGTCACTATGAGGTTGGGTCAGCGCCGACGGGGGACGGAGAAGTCCTCTTACCGAGCTGGCCAGAGTACCCAGTTCCCATTGTTTCTCGCGCGGCGACAAACCGTCCCTGGCGGACTGCCCGGAAAGTGTAACTGTTGTTTGTGTCGCTAGGTGGCAGTGGCGCCGCGCCTCCGCCGGGAGCGCAGCTAGTGGCTCAGTCGCTGCATTGTCGAACAAACGCGATGTCTTTCTAGAGGCGTGTTGTGTCCAGGGTCTGCCGGGCGAGGCGTAGCGTAGTGCTCCGTGTCTGCCGCGGGTCAATCATGACGCGTCTCCACAGCAACTTTACGTGTCACGACTGTGCAGTAGATAGGTAAACTGTAAACGAAACGTGTGAACAGGCGCATACAGAACAGGGCGAGCTACTGCACCGTCCTCGAGCCAGTAATTTACGCAATTATTTTTCGACTGCAGAACCTTGACAAGTCGGCTGAATATGTAGATTTACTGTTTCGCTTTACCAACATACATCTCGCAATGAAAAACTCTGCCCTCGTATGTATATCAATATGTGGATTTTCCAGTATTCAATTGTGTAGAATGTATAACGAAATTTTCCTAAGAAAATGAGTAGGACATCCCGTTGCTTTGTTACTCATAACTACTGACGGTCTGTTACGGTATTTTGCGTGCAAGCGCCGCCAATCACCATGATCGCAATGTGTCGCGTTCCCCGTGGGATGTTGTGGAACATCACCGGTGTACCGTAAGATGGTGTCATAAGAAACCGGTGTGGGAGCTGCTGGGTGATGCGCCAGGCACCGATACGGCGTGTTCGGACCACAGCGTCCCATCATCCCCGTGTGATGCAGTATGTGTGGGAAAGCGAGACTCGACAATATATACCGCCAGTCCGTGTCCCGTGATGTCCTGTGTTGAGCCCTGGCAAGTGGCTCAACAAACGCCCCACCTCCGGCGAACACTCCCGCACAGCCCGAGTTCGCGGTACAAAAGGCGTGTATTACATCCACAGTGTGTTTATTTGCCAAACTCCTTCATGGACAGACCTGAAACAAAGAGAAACAAAAGGTCAGACAGACGCCTAATGGGCATGATCGTGAGGTATGAACACACAAGCACTTGCAACATGCAGTGCACCTGGCCACCCGGGAAACAGCCGAATAACGATGCACCAGCCATATCGCTTTAACCCTCGCACCGACGGGGGGGGGGGCGGATATCCGCCCCCCCCCCCCTGAGGTTTTTCGCGAATAGCGGGAAAACCGCGGCGCGTAGCGCCGCGAAATTTGGTATGACTATAACCTCATCAATTTTACACATGGTGTGCAAGTTTGAACCTCCTACCTTTTAAGGTCAGGTCACCAGGTCACTTTGAATGACCCAACCTCAAGTCACTTTTTTGCAACTTTGTCACCGTACCAGAGCTACAGTAGATGTCGGAGGCCTTTGAACGTCGCAGGATATTATTAGGTCATTAGTAGCTACAATTTGTATATCTCGGAATTTTGATATCGGTGACCTAAGGTCAGGTCAATTTCGCAACCTCCCCATTATAAGTCAATGGGGGAAAATCAACTCCCTGTTTTTACCACTAAAACGGGTCGGAATGGCCCCATATACCATACATGACTTCATATACGATCAACCTTCACTACCTTGAGGTCTGTTTTGCTGTTGGGCAGCTGTGAGGTCATGTGACGTCATCAAAGGTCACCAAAGGTTTTTGGCCAATAATTCCGTACAGGAACAAGATACAGACGCGTGGATGGTCTCATTGTGTTCAGCTCGTCAAGACGCATCGAATGATATACATGATGACCTCGAGGTCACGTGACCTGAGGTCAACCTTTGACCTTGACCTTTCGAGGTCAACATACATATCATTCGATGCGGATTGACGAGAGGATCACGATGATGCCCTTAGTTTATTCCTATCTTGACTAATTCAAAAGTTATTCGAGAAAAACTCTCCATATCTAGCGCCGCCATTTTGACTTTTTCGACCCCTGTGACGTCATCTTTGACCTGACCTGAAAATGACCATAGTAAAAATTGTAGATCTTGGCCGTGCGTATCCGATGCCGTTTACCGCTTGTCGCTATCTTGCTTCGTTCTCGAGATCTCAGGGGGGGGGGGCGGTCATCCGCCCCCCCCGTCGGTGCGAAGTTGGCGCAGACCCCCGTCGGTGCGCGGGTTAACCCGCGCCGGGCCGGTGCTCTGAAATTCCGCGCCGGGCCGCGGGGGGGTGTTTGAACACCCCCCCCCCTTCTAACTCGGCTCCTGGGCCACGTAGCGACACGCGGTAAGCGGCAATCGAAAGAACGTCCAAAATAAGGACGAAAACACTTCGGTCATTTTTTTGGGTCAGGTCAAAGGTCAGGTCACCAGGTCACCAAAGGTCAAATGTTCACTATTTCAACATTTTGGAAACTGCCAACGGCTATCTCGGGAACCGATAGAGCTACAGCGCCGCAAAAAAGCGCATTCGATAGCCCTTTTACAGACCTTTCTGAGTAATGTTCTCAGATTTGACCTCAGGTCAACGGTTTAGCCTCCAGAAGGCAAAAACTCCAAAAATAGCCGTTTTTACGAAAAACGTTTTTTCGGCAATAACTTTTGACTCAAAAGAGCTATGACATTACTTTTGCCAGCATCGTGTTCCTCTCGTCGAGACGCGTCGAATGAACTATAATTTGACCTTGAAAGGTCAACTTGAAAATTTGACCTCAGGTCAAGGTCATGACCTGACCGGAAAAGGTCATGTTGCATATCAGTCGATCCGCAACGTCGAGCCGAACACATCTAAGGCGTTTTCAGCGCTCTAGCACGCCTCTATCAGAAGTTATCATCGAAAAACTGTTAGATTCTGTTCGTGACCTGAGATGACCTCGGGGACATAACGAGGGGTCACAGTTGCCATTTTCTGGTTCAGTGTGTCTATTTTACCTACATCTCGATGTTTGAGAGTGTCTAGAATAGCGTTCGTGCAAAACAGGCGCTTTTCAATTTTCTCCCATTGACTTATAATGGAGAGGCCGCAAAATTGACCTGACCTTAGGTCAACGATATCAAAATTCCGAGATATACATTTTATAGATAGTGTTGCTCTAATCAATCGCTGAAAGTTTCAAGGCAATCGTTCAGTCGGTGTAGCTATGACGAACATTCTTATTTTTTCTGAGGTGAGGTCACTTGGCGTGACCTGGTGACCTGACCTAAGGTGACCTGGGTCTGAAATTTTCACAACATGTGCGGAAAAGATGCACGAACAGGTGTGCCAAAAACGGCGGCGCTACGCGCCGCCGTTTTTGAGATATCTGCGAAAAACCGCAAGGGGGGTGTTCAAACACCCCCCCCCCCCCCCGGCCCGGCGCGGGTTAAGTGAGCCTTCAAACTTTAAGACTTTAAGAGAGCCTTCAGCATACCGCTGCTGCTCACTAGGTTTTGAATATTTTGTCCGAAGGCGAAAGTACCACGTGGCCAGCGTCTTGCACATTTGAATGAGATTAGCACCATTTCCATGGTGTTTTCTTGTCGTCAATTTATAACATCGATAACGAATGTCATTATTTACCTACGCAAAATGTCAAGCGAAGCGTTTTAGCGGGCGAGGACGAACTAGCCGCGAGGAACCTAGCAGGTTTATCGTAAACAAACATAAAAAGACTAGCAGCTGAACCTGCCATCACAAGTAAAGTTATACAAACTCTTTATCAAACTAAAAATGAGCCAAGACTCTACGATCACTCATTCACTGCCACCGAAGCATGCAATGTAGTATAAAACACGCTCTTACATCAGGTTGATAATGCACGCTCAGCAGCCAGCACACCAGCTCTACCGCGATCCCGTAAACCTGCGCCAATCAGGCCCTGTTTCACTGCATGACGCTACCGGTCCGGTATCGTAGTATCGGGTGTCCATGTACGCATCAACCCACTCGGACACTCCCATGTTACAGCCTCCGAGATTGTTTATATTTCCGCAGAAAGTAGAAACCCAATACCACGATACCACTAGCGTCAGGTAGTGTCATACGCTGAAACAGGGCCTCTCGGGCACGCACCACCAGCCGCCGGCGTCACTCACCGGGCGGCAGGCTCTGCTTCAGCTTCTCGGCCTTCTCCTTGTCGGTGATGACCAGCGTGTAGAGGAAGCGGCTGCAGCGCACTTTGAACTTGGTATTCTCAGAGTTCTTCTTGATGCGCACCGACTTGGCGTCGGGCCGCCGGCACGTCAGCAGGAAGTCCTTGATCTCCTTAATTTGACGCGGCTGCGGGCGAGCGGCGGGAGACGGGCGGGTCAGTGGGGTGACGGCGGGAGACGGGCGGGTCAGTGGGGCGCAGTGCTGGAAATGAGGCCGCTTTCTGGTCCCGGCGTTTTATTCTCCGGGTGAGTTAGCCCCGTCTAGCGCTTAGCCTTTCGGGACCCTCTCAGAGCCGCGGTTGTTTTCGCCGCTCGGCCCATTCGAGATGCAAAGTTGATAGTCGCGCGAAGTTTATTTGGGGCTTCTGAATATACGACTTCGAAATTAATTGATTCTACAAAACCTTTTTCTTTCATCTATATGCATACATTTAGCAGTAGCTCCAGACTAGACTGGTTTGGCTGGCCCTAAATAAGCTTCGTGTGACTATTAACTTTGCATCTCGACTGGGGCGAGCGGCGAAAACAACCGCGACCTTGAGTGGGTCCCGAAAGGCTAAACGCTGGACGGGATTAACCCGCGCCCTGCTGGGGGGGGGGGGGTGTTTGAACACCCCCCTTGTGGTTTTTCGCGAATATCTCAAAAACGGCGGCGCGGAGCGCCGCCGTTTTTGGTACACCTTATCATACATCAATTCTACACATGTTGTGAAAATTTCAGACCAAGGTCATTCAAGGTCAGGTCACCAGGTCACTTGAAGTGACCTCACCTCATAAAAAGTTGCAATGTCTGTCATAGCTACACCGAGTGACCGATCGCTTTGAAACTTTCAGCGATTGCTTAGAGCAATAGCATGTACAAAATGTATATCTCAGAATTTTGATATCGATGACCTAAGGTCAGGTCAATTTTGCGACCTCCCCATTATAAGTCAATGGGAGAAAATTGAAATGCGCCTCTTTTGGACGAAAGACATTATAAACACTTCCAAACACTGAATTACAAGTGGTTTAGACACACTGAACATGAAAATGGTGTCCGTGACCCCTGTTTATGCCCTGAGGTCAACTTAGGTCACGAATGGTATCTAACAGTTTTTCGCACATAACTTTTGATAGAGGCATGCTAGAGCGATGAAAACGCCTTAGATGTGTTCACCTCGACGATACGGATCGACTGATATGCAACATGACCATTTCCGGTCAGGTCATGACCTTGACCTGAGGTCAAATTTTCAAGTTGACCTTTCAAGGTCAAGTTATAGTTCATTCGATGCGTCTTGACGAGAGGAACACGATGCCGGTAAAAGTAAGCTCGTACAAGGCTTGGGTCAAAAGTTATTGCAGAAAAACTGTTTTCGAAAAAATCGGCTATTTTTGCAGTTTTTGCCCCCTGCAGGCAAAACCGTTGACGTTAGGTCAAATCTGAGAAAATTTCCAAAAAGGGCGTTAATAGGGCTATCGAATGCGCTTTTCCGCGGCGCTGTAGCTCTATTGGTTCCCGAGTTATGCGTTGGCTTCTTGGAAATTTTCGACATTCGACCCGGAAATCGGCGAAATTTTGCCTTCAATGACCTCTGGTGACCTGACCTTTGACCCGACCAAAAAATTGACCGAAGTAATTTCCTCATTATTTTTGACGCTCTTTCGAACGCCGCCTTCCGCATATCGCTACGTGGCCCAGGAGCCGAGTTAGAAGGGGGGGTGTTCAAACACCCCCCCCCCCCCCCAGCAGGGCGTGGAAATCCAGGACCCCCAGCCGGGCGCGGGTTAACCCGCGAGGAGAATAAAACGCCGGGACCAGAAAGCGGCCTCATTTCCAGCACTGGTGGGGTGACGGCGGGAGACGGGCGGGTCAGGCGGCCGGTGACGGCGGGTGACAGTGGGATCAGGCTGGTCCTGGTGACAGTCGGGTTAGGCCGGTGATGGTGGGGTCAGGCTGGCGACCGTACGGTCAGTCAAGTGGCGGCGATCGGAACAGCGCAGGCATCACACGAAGCGTTGCCAGACATCTTTGTGGACACATTGTACTTTGAGTGAAGTCTGCACTACCATTCAGGCTACTCCTGACTATGCGTGATCCTCCATGAAATCATACGCCTATTGCGTATTATCGGATATTCAGAAAAATCGGTAGGTACAGCCCTCTGCAAACTAAGTATTTTTTTTCCGACAAAAACGAGAACAATGCGAATACTCTGCTATCGGTCATTTGCAAATCGTAACAGCAAGACGCGCGAGACTCCGCACCTTGGGTTGGCATCATTGCCGTATTCATTATCCATCTCGTTCGGCAACAAAACCCAAAAGTTTATCTTTGCCCCCAAAACAGACTTTTGCATTTTGTTGCCACACAAGGCGTATACTTTGTTTAGTGATGGGAGTGCTTGGGAGTGGAAAATTGATCTTAAAAATTAGAGATGAGAGTGAAAAATGATTTGGATTTGGATGTAGTTTCCCACCCAAATCAACACATTTTGGGACACTGTAGTCACCAAGTCATTGGCAAGTCATAGTCAACAAAATCAATGTCTCTGTAGGCTTGGTGAGGACTATCAGTACTGACATTTGTTTCAAAGTTCCTTTTTTAAGCAGTATTTGGCATTCAAGTGCCATGATGATTGTTTGCACATTTATAACCATGTGAACCTTACACATGTGGTTCACACACCATTTTTTCATTAGATTAGATAGCCTAATCAATCAGGTAGTCAATTAGCAGGCATCACACTTGTTTTTGCAACCAAGGAGAGGTGCTACACCCAGAGATGTAGGTTGTGGGTTTGTCGGTTTAAATGTTTAAGGTTATAGGTTGTGGGTTTGTAGGTTTAAAGGTTTAAGGTTATAGGTTGTAGGTTAGGTTAGGTTTGAATTGGTCCAGTAAGAATAGGTTAGATTCAATTTGTTCTGGTTAGAAAGAATCATCTCTAGGTTTAGCACCTCTCCTTGGTTACAAAATCTAGTGTGAAGTCCACTTTTTATAAACTTAGCTCGAAAGTTTGAATGGTCGGACTGACAGAAACCGAGCCCACACTAAGCAGAGCTTGTTGCGTAGAACCCCACCCCTACATTCCAATTGCTCAATTCCGGGTCATGGGAGGATTTAGACGCCACAGTTTAACAAGCCATTCAAAGCCGGACATGGCCTGTCCCACTCAACTGACTTCAACTGGCTGCGGCTGCTCCCACCAACCGCAGACCATCCCCGTCAGGAGTCTCAAATATTGAGCGCCGGAGCGTCTCAAACCCGGGCTCTCACAACCGGGAGTCCAATGCTCTACCAACTGAGCTACGGGACAGGCCTACTTAGTGGGACTACTTTATGACTACCTTCAAAATTATCAACGCCAAAAAATGTAATAAAAAGAACACATTTTGGTAATAATACAGGAATGAAGCTGGTTTAAAATTAAATGCAATCCAATGATAAATCAACCAAGTCAGACAAAACAGGCAAGCATGTAATGAACCCATCCTAAAGCAATTAAAAAGAGCTCACTAAAAAGACTCACCATTTTGTTGCTGCTGTACAGGTATCACCTGAAATGCAGAAGAAATTGCATGAAGAGGCAAATTAACAGTAATGACATTGATGACACAGCACTAGTGTAAGCAAGATAAACCAGAGGGCTGTTCACGGGCCCTGTGTGCGGTCGGACCGCACACAGCCTCAGCCGTCAGCCTTCCGTCACCGCACACAGCGATCGCTGTGGCCGGTCGGGACCGGCCACAGCGGACCGTCCACCACACGCAGCCGTGACGTCAGAACCGCCTACCCATCCCCTACCCCCACGCCTGCTGGATCACCGCACACAGCGCATGCAGCAGTGTGCGGTGCCCGTGAACACCCCTCAGAGATCTCTCACTAAACACAGTACAAGCAACCTAAAATTTATCAGGACAGAAAAGAATTAGGATTGTGCAACAAATAATTTTACTTCAGGTAAGTTGTGATGCTCACGCCAATAAATGAACATTACTTGAACATCAACTGCAGACGTGCAGGCGTTTTACTCGGCACATCAATAACAAGTGCTCTTGTGTTACTAAACTGGCGCAGGAAACAATGGACAGGTTGACGTAAACCCAATGTAGAATAGAAGAATATACCTAATGATGATTTAAAGAAAAGGTTCAGCTAACAACTTCACAGAACTTAGGAATGACAACAAAAATATACAGATAACCATTGAAATAATTACGTAAACACTGACCTGCAATGCGCCACAATAAAGCGACACCGGGGAAAGGACGATGCTACACCGTTGCCAAATATTCTTGGAAAATATTTTTTTAATGTAAATCTTTTTCGTACATATTTGCTGATTCTTAAACACTGTCTCGAATCATAGAAAATAGTTCAATTCAAAAAGTCATAAGCAATTTTTCAGCATAAGCTTATATAAATCACATATAAATATAAGTAAATTCGATTGCGCGCGAGTTACAAATTCAACGCACGGGCGCCAAAAGCAAGCAAAAGTAAACAACAAGAACAAGAGAGTGGACGACGCGGCGGTGCGGTGATTGATAATACCAAGGCTATATAAACCTCGCTCCCGTGCTGAAGGCGCGGGAGCGAACCCCCCTGGATAATACCTAAGGCATACAAGGCCCTATTTTCCGCTAATACAATAAATGAATACCGATAATACTGATACAGGGCATGCATTGAGGGTCATGGAAGTTCGGTAACGATTCTTCTCAGCCGAGGTTCAATTAATGTGCGGTGATTTGTAGCTGTGATAGGATTAAACTCAAAGAGTTTAATAGATGGCTCGCCAAATATACACCCTTCAAGAGCCTGACTCCACCATTCAGAAATTACACAGGTTGGTAAAATGTGTCCCAACTCCCAGTGTGCAATAATTTATGTAGTTGCCAAATGAAGGGAGATTTTGCTAGCCAAATTAATTCAATTGTAATCGTGACTATTCCTGATTCTGATATAGCTTTTCAAATGTGGCTCTTTGGAATAGGATATTTCAATTTTATGCTGAAACTTAAATTGTTGAACATTGTATGGATGGTGGCATGTCATTCATATTGGTATAGCAAGTCACAGTGAAGTAAGTCTAGGTTCAAACCATCAGAATTACCCTTACCGGATGAATCTCATCTCACTTTTCTCCTTACAGACCGGCACCTGTCCCTCACTCCTCATCAGGCCCTCAGACTATCGTGATATCCCCCCTCCTGCCCAGGACCCCTGCACACTGTATATACAAGCCTTGTCTGCCTTCTGCCCCAGCTATCTCCTGACCCCTCTCCGCCCTCAGTCTGTCCCCTGACGCCCCCCCCCCCCCCCCCAGGGCAGGTCTGGTGCAGGTGCGGGACGTTCTCCGACTCACCCCGGATCAGCTGGCTGCCGAGGCGCACCTCAGCCCCTCTGAGGCGGCCGGCCTGCAGCAGAGAGCCGGCCGGCGGCCCGCCCTGACCCAGGGCCGGCCCCGCCCACCCGCCGGTCACGTGGTCACCTTCAGCCGCCGGCTGGATGCGCTGCTCGGAGGCGGTCTGCCGCTCGGACGGATCACTGAACTGGTGGCGCCGCCAGGCGGCGGAAAAACGCAACTCTGCTTGCAGGTGAGTGGTGTAGGTGGCACTTTGCACTGTGAGTGAGTAGTGACTGCAGCGACTCGACTGGCCCATCGACTATCGAGTCGGTCATGCGGCTTCCTGCGGTGAGTGGTGGTCTAGAGTTCGTAATAAAACACTAGCAGAAAGGACTTTCGGGTCATTTCATATTTCAGGTCAAAACACAGTCACTGGAAGACATAAAATACCATTTTTCCCAATTTTGATAGTGTTGGTCACATTCTGGTCACATCGACACATCACTTGTGAACAAATAAAAAGGGCACATCTCGCCAAAGTGCTCGGTACTCGGTGCTTAGCTCTTTTGAAGCTATCGAATTGATCTAAGGTCTACGATTTGGCATCCATCGGGAGAATGCCTTCTGAGAAGACCTTTTTGGAGTGGTGGGTTAGGGCGCCCTTTCGGTCTAACGAGAGCCCGAGACCATTTCAGAGCCGGAAGGATCATAAGAATTAGGGGGAGACATTGGTCTGGGTGGGCTCCCTGGAGAGTTGTCGGGGCTGAGGCCTGAGCCCATCACTTTAACAGGCCAACCAATCCCCTGACACTCACCGCACCCGGCTACGGGCCTACTCCTGGGGTTGAGTTACCCGTTTAGGATGAAGTGGTCCGTCCAGCCCGCAGCAGGGAAAAGAGGCGTGGAGGAGAAGGATTTGTCTGTCCTAACTCTCAGGATAGAAAACAGGGAACGGTGGGTCTATTTTGTCTGTTTTGTATGTAGTGTCTCAAACAGGCGCAGTTTCATTTCCTGATATCACTCTTTGGAGAGGTCACCAAATTCACCTGACCTTAGTTTACGAATGACTAGAAACACGATCCGAACGTTTTTTTTTTTTACGTCTGATCACCCTCATCAACCGCTCAGTGTCAAAATAATTGATCAGCCGGCGAAGCCAGAGCGAGCGTTTACCTCTTTCTTGCAGTGGTTTTTTCCTCGCCTTGTAATCGGACCTTGATTGGCCTGCGACTGAAATTGTCATATGAATAACATGTGAATAACATGAATAGCACAACATGAATACATGTGCTAAAAAGGGGACATACCTACATACTGAGCTTTTCCAAAAGCGGCGGTGTTTGGGTATCGACGAAGACCTGAGGTGCGGCGGGAAGACCGTCGCCGCCGCGGTGCGGGACGACGGGAGACGTCACCGACCGGAGTGTGGACTCGCTGTGTCTGACTCTGATGTAGTATCTTGCTAATAACTTACGTCTTTGTTCTATTTTCTTGACAATGCGTTGCGATGACAGGTCTGAGGTCACTGACGGTAAAATGCTCATATCTTAATATTATGAACATTTTACAACATGGACAGCGCTTTGCTACAAATGGGTTACAAATTAATTTGCGTAGCTCATTTGCTATTTTCCCTATGACACTTGTTATGTTATTATTATAGCTGTATTGGTGGCTGGGTGACAAGTCGTGGGACCCGTTTACCTAGTTAGGTGTGTTTCGCTGTTCAGCTCGTCTTATCCTACCCGCAGAATTCAGTCTACGGCTTAACAGTTTGCGCTTACCGATATTGCGTCCCATGCAAGCACGTTAACTAGTATTTGATATGTAAACAATTACAAGGTAACAGGCAGGCGGCTCTACAGTCTACAGTGATCAGCCCCGCTCTACTCGTATGCATCAAGCTGAGCTGTTGTGTTTGCTTCGTATGTCCTGGCTCGACCCATTTGAAGCAGCAAGCTTTTCTGTGTGTTAAAGCAGCATGTTAAAGTGTATTAAAGCTTGCCAAGCTTGTCTGTTGTGTTGCCTGTCCCGTTAGTGAGATCCCGGGTTAGAGACGCTCCGGCGCTCGATATTTGAGACTCCTGACGGGGATGGTCTGCGGTTGGTGGAAGCAGCCGCAGCCAGTTGAAGTCAGTTGAGTGGGACAGGTCGTGTCCGGCTTTGAAGGGCACGTTACAATTTGGCATCTAAATTCTCCGTTACCCGGAATTGCGCGATCGGACGGTAGGGGTCGGGGTGTACGCAACAAGCTCTGCTTAGCGTGGGCTCCGGCTCTGTCAATCCGTCCATTCAAACATTCGAGCTAAATTTATTTAAAAAAAAACACACACACACTATACGAAGTAAACATCTGTCTTTTGTGGCCCGTATCGGAGGACCTGGTTCTCATAGGAATTAGGAAGTTATGGTAAAAGTGAAAATTTCCACGGACTTCGGAGTTGCGCCGATGTCTGCGTGAGAGTTGGGAAATGCCGCACATTTTACATGTTTTGCCTTGTTCGTTCTCTTTTTCTACGTACGTTTTTATACTTTTTTACTGTAACTGTAAAACAGGGAGGCTTTCGTGATAAAGAGTTAAACTTGTCTCGTACTCACTCATGTATTTTCGCCCATTCACAAGCATTTCGCCAAAAAGTCACATAATGCCGGTGTACGGACACCGCGCAAAGTTACTGCTGGGGCGTTCCACGACAAATCGACAAGTGCCCTGCACCCTCATATTTTATTTTTTGCTTAAAATTGGTCTAATGGGTTGTGATGGGCGGGGAAGCCAGCTGTGGCAAGGATTTTTTTCTTCGAATAACGGTTTCCGAGATATAGCCTCGGGCAATTCTTGGAGTTCGCGCTGCAGCCCTATGTTTGGTGGCCTATAACTCAGAAACTATTGGCTTTTTACGATAAAAACTTTATATGGTTCAACTCACAATCAAATAACAAACATTTTGGCTATCTCGGATTTTTAATTTTTGAAAATTTTGATTACGTGACCTTTTGTCCTATTTTTCGAAGAGTGACCTTGATATTTTCCCCACTGAAAGTTGCAATTTTGTCTGATGACGATTAAAGCCTTATCAATTGTCATTCATATGCGATAATAAAAAAGTGGTTATCGCCCTGCGTTGACCTCAGGTCAGATCATTTTTATGACCTGTCCATTATTACGAGCGGGAGCGACAGCGAGATCTCGAGAATAAAGCAAGATAGCGACAGGCGGTAAACGGTAAAGGGTACACACGGATTAGGTCTATAGTTTTTACTGAGGTCATTTTCAGGTCAGGTCAAAGATGACGTCACAGGAGCTAAAAGAAAGTCAAAATAGCGGCTCTATACATATATATGAAGTTTTTCTCGAATAACTTTCAAGGTATCCCAGCTAGGAACAAACTAATAGCACCATCGTGATCCTCTCGTCGATCCGCATCGAAAGATATGTTTGTTGACCTCGAAAGGTCGAAAGGTCAAAAGTTGACCTTAGGTCACGTGATCTAAGGTCAACTTTTGACCTTTCGACCTTTCGAGGTCAACATACATATGTTTCGATGCGGATCGACGAGAGGATCACGATGGTGCTATTAGTTTGTTCCTAGCTGGGATACCTTGAAAGTTATTTGAGAAAAACTTCATATAGGTATATGTATAGTGCCGCTATTTTGACTTCCTTTTAGCTCCTGTGACGTCATCTTTGACCTGACCTGAAAATGACCTCAGTAAAAATTATAGACCTTATCCGTGTGTACCCTTTACCGTTTACCGCTTGTCGCTATCTTGCTTTATTCTCGAGATCTCGCTGTCGCTCCCGCTCGTAATAATGGACAGGTCATAAAAGTGACCTGACCTGAGGTCAACGCAGGGCGATAACCACTTTTTTTATTATCGCATATGAATGACAATCAATAAGGCTTTAATCGTCATCAGACAAAATTGCAACTTTCAGTGGGGAAAATATCAAGGTCACTATTCGAAAAATAGGACAAAAGGTCACGTGATCAAAATTTTCAAAAATTGAAAATCCGAGATAGCCAAAATGTTTGTTGGTTGATTGTGAGTTGAACCGTATAAAGTTTTTATCGTAAAAAACCAATAGTTTCTGAGTTATAGGCCGCCAAACATAGGGCGGCAGCGCGAAATCCAGGAATTGCCCGAGGCTTTATCTCGGAAACCGTTGTTCGAAGAAAAAAAATCCTTGCCACAGCTGGCTTCCCCGCCCATCACAACCCCTTACACCAGTTTTCAACGAAGAATAAAATATGAGGGTGCAAATTTAATTTTTTATTTGTCGATTTGTCGTGGAACGCCCCTGCTGTTGTTTATAGCAGCTGTGCTCTGCTCACACAATGCACTGTTGTGCTCCCACAGGGAGCAGCAGACACCTGCAGAAAGTGTCAGCTATTTGGAACGTGCCCGATTCCAGTACACCTGTCCATATGGTTCGGCTTGAGGTGTGATACCGCCTGTTTTGCGGTCAGAAGTGAATGCGACGGACTTTCTGAATCTGCGCTAGCACCTGGCGAAATGAGAAATGACTGCTGCAATTAGTGTATGAATGGCGGATGCTATCGTGGAGCATTTTGAGACGTCTTTGGTGTCGCGTTATGTGCTGATGCGGTAGCTGAGTATGTGATTCATGCTTGAGCCAACCTACATTACATCAGCTGAGGTGCGCCGTAGTTCAGCTGCTACTTCATTTTTGTCTTACTGGGGATGTAATAGTCTTACCCCATTTTTGCCGAAAACGAAGCAAATTATGACAAACGACGTATCGACCGAATCATAGTTTTTTTGCGACGAATTGGCACCGAATGATTCATGGGTGCTCTACGGAACTTTCAAAATTTCACAACCTAACACTTCTTAGTCAATTATCCAAGATTCCAATTAGGTATACAATATTCACATGGTTGTAGGTGTCTCTGGTCATGTTTTCCCATACGTTGATGCAATTCTCCTGGACAAAACTTTTACAGTATACCTAAAATTCTTCGAAATTTTAAAGGCATTAACGGCCCCGTACGTGTATAATTGACTTTTCGGCCAATAGGGCCGTCCGCGATTTCTTCCCTAACGTCTCAGTAGAGGGATGTTTTTTTTCATTTGACTCAAGTTTTCCTGCCAATAGCTATTTTGAGAATCACTAGCTATTTTGCTTCACTAGCTATTTCGACGCTAGCGATTTAGTCAATAGCCATTTTGAAGCACTAGCTACTTTGCTTCAGGGCTGCGGAGTCGATGGATTTACGGCGACTCCGA